GGGGGGGAGAGGAAGCAGGTGGACGCAGGGTCATGCTAGGACAGCGAATGATTCTCGGTCGATGCAGAGAGGAAGAAATCCATGAGAAGCATTCTCGTGAGTTCTCGCGCCAGTACAACGAGGCTCGCTCGGTGAGAGGTGCACGGGTTGGTCAGGCGTGACAGTCTCAGCAGCACTTCCGGCATCGGAGGAAGCAGAGAGCAGAGCAAGCGCAGAGTTTCGAGATGCCCCCCATGGTCCCGAGGCAGGAGGTGATGCATCTGCTCGGGATGTGCTGGGCTCGTGGTGCTCGGAGTGAGCTGGGCTCTAGGTGGAGAGTGCGATGAGGCTGCTGGAGATTCCTGTGACGTCTAGCTTGATGGTCTGGTTGTGACTTAAGGGCAAGGCGTGTGATGGGAGCGCAGAGCGAGGTCAGCGAGGAGAAGCTGAAGAAAGCGTACATCGCATGCGCCAAGGTAGGGGAAGAGCGGAGGGGAAGGCGGAGGGCTAGGTCAGGGATGATGGCAGGAGGACAGGGCTGGTGAGCGTGTAAGGAGTACGATGAGCAGGAATTGAGTGGGAGGAGGGAGAGGGAGAGGGGGAGGAACAGTATTGTGGGTGGTGGTCGGCCAGAAGGCAGCCTGATGGAGCGTGCAAGCAGTAGGGGCAGGGGATACGTTAACCATGCTCACAGAAGTGGCACCCCGACACAAGACCGCACGAGGAGCGAGCGGAGGCAGGAAACAGGTTCAAGATGATTGGGTGAGTTTTCCTTGTCAGCTCCTCCCTCCCTCTCCTCCCTCCTTCTCCCTCTTATCCCCCCCACTCCCTTTCCCTCCCTCTCTTCCTCCCTCCCTCCCTCCCCCCCTCTCTCTCGCTTTCTCTCCTGCTGTTCCTTGCTCATGGCCCGTTGGATTGTCCTGACGTGGATCACAGAGCTGCATACGACAAGTTGAAGCCGCTGTGCGAGCAGAGATTATGAAAGATGGAGGGGAGGATAAAAGGTGAAAGGACAACAGTGCTGATGGACTTGACCCCTTCTTCTCCTCTCTTCTCTTCTCCTTCCCTCTGCTCTCTTCCCCTCCCCTCCCCTCCCCTTGTCCATCAGCCGTCGCCATGTTGCTTCAGAGTGAACGACAAAGGGAGTAAGGCGCATAACCTTCATATCTTGAGCAAGCCTTCTCCTCCCTCCCTCCCTCCCTCCCTCCCTCTCGCTCTCTCTCTCGCCCTCCCTCCCTCCCTCCCTCCTCCATCAAACGAGGGTGTCGCCCTCCCCATCGCCCTCCCTCCTTGTCATATCGCGCGCCATTATCGGAGAGCTTCTCACCAAATTTCCCGGGGAGCTGCGAGGAGCAAGTGAGAACTCTGACTTCTTCCTCCCCTCCTCTCCCTGCCCCACTTTAGCTCCTCATCCTCCAGTCTCAACTCCTTCGCCTCCTCCCCTCCCCTCCCCTCCCCTCTACCTCTCGTGAGAACGGTCAGTATAGCTCTCGAAGGCCCTGTTCACTCGCCGTACCCTGCGACTGTCAGAGAAGGAGAGGAGGGGAAGGAGAGGGAGAAAGGAGCAGGAGCAGGAGAAGGGGGAGCAGAGTCAGAGTCAGGTGCAGGGGAAGGGGAAGAGGAAGGGGAAGGGGCAGGAGAAGGAGCAGGGGGAGCAGGGGGAGCAGGAGAAGGGGGAGCAGAGTCAGGTGCAGGTGCAGGTGCAGGTGCAGGTGCAGGTGCAGGGGAAGGAGCAGGAGCAGGAGAAGGGGGAGCAGGGGCAGGAGCAGATGGAAGTTACCGCTCGAGCTCCTTTTCTAGAGCAAGTCGATGCTGCTCAGCCTCGTTGACGGCAAACTCTGGAGAATGCCTGGAGGGTGGAGGAGTTGGTGAAGGAGGGGGAAGGGGCGCAGGGGGCCCGGGGAACGGAGGAACGCGAAGGAAAGGGGGGGGAAGGAGAGGAGGGAGAGGAAGGCTGCCAGGTTAACTGATGGGATGAGGTGATAGGAAACTCACTTTGACAGCTGTGGTGGCGAAGAATTCCTCTGCTCCGTCGAGAACACAGGAGGAGGAGGAGAAGGAGGAGAAGGAGCAGAAAGAGGAGAAGGAGAAGCACGTCAAGGCAAGCACCCGATTATCTCTCCTCTTCTACCATAACGTCGAAATCAAGAGAACCTGAATGGCGACGAAACATTAGAACATGGAGAAAGCGAAGATAGGAAGGCTGGGGGAGAACGATACCAACGGAGATAGAAGCGAAGGAGGAGGAAAAAGAGAAGGAGGAGGAGGA